AAGGCACAGTACTGAGTACAGAACACAAGGGAAGATCAAGAAACCACCTAGCAGACCAACCAGAGGAAGGAACTAGCTTTGGCAATCTCAACAGAAGCTTTCCAAGATGTGTTAGAGCAGGCACAGAAGACACACGAGACTGGTAAAGACCAGGAAAACAAAACCACGGCAAGATGGACTTATGACCAGTGTAAACTTGAAAAGCGTACACCAACCAAGAGGAGACAAAATCACTGGGAGAGGGTGGACGCAACAAACGTTGCAAATAGACAAGATGCAAAGCTAAGCTTTGATCTGCTATATCCACGAGACCAACACCACCAAACTTGCGGGGGAGACACAAAGTAGACCAAGCAACACCAGGGCGAAAGGACATCAGATACTCACGGACCACCGTAGTGAGAGACTTCAACCACGACGCAGTAGTAGCACCACCAGGAACAACACGCAACAAATGATATATCTTTGACAACAGTAACGAGTTAGCCACTAGTCCTGCTCCCCTAATGGAGAGATTCCTTTGTTTCAACAAGTTACTGTGTCGCTGGACCTTCACCAAGACACCATCAAGATAGTCTTGAAGTTGACTTTCAGTATGATACAAGGGATAACCCAAGTAACGTACTGCACCACGAGAGTGAGCGTCATGCCACTGGAGACCAGTAGAATCAGCCAAAGCAACCCAAGCAGAGTGTGACACACCAGACAACGACACCAACACTGTCTTGCTGATATTGACTTTCGCATTAGATGCTCGGCCATACAGATCAAGAACAGACAACAGCACAGACCACTCTTCTGGCGAAGACAAAAACACCTCAAGATCATCCGCATAGCTCAGAATCTTGACAGGAGGAGGAGCAACAGAGCCACTAACAAAGTCCAAAGTCCAATTCCGGGCACCAGTACCATGATCCACACGAACTTCGACCGGTAAAGGCTTCCATTTACGTGGGATATCAACAGGAGACAGAGTAACACCAGAAAGACCAGGACAAGCAAGGAGAGAACGAAGCAAAGGCTCAAATGCCAGATTGAATAGCAATGGAGAGAGAGGATCACCTTGACGAAGACCTCGCAATTGAGGTACAGGAGCACCAAGCCAACCATTGATAGACACTGAAATCTTGGTTCCAAAGAACAAAGAAGACAGACAAGACACCAACTCACCAGGAAAACCAAACCGGAGCAACACACGACAAAGATATTCAGGATGAACCCGATCATACGCCTTCTCTTGATCCAACAAAACAGCAACTTGAGGTAAATCAGGAGCAACAACACGCAAGTGAGACATCAACAACTGATTTAACCAGCCATTGTCAGAGATCAGACGATGAGGGAGAAAACCAGTTTGATAAGGGTTGATTAACTTTGGCAACACTTTGTTCATACGATTAGCAATGAGCTTTGTAAATAACTTGGCATCACTGTTAATTAAGGACAAAGGTCTCCAGTTAACCAACAACTGAGGGTCACCCTTCTTGAACAATAAGACCATACGAGTTTGTTGCCACGAAGGAGGAAACACACCAGAAAAAGCTGCACCCAACACATCCACAAGCAAGTCAAGAAAATCAGTTGAAACACCAGCAAGATATTGATACAATTCAAAAGGCAAACCGTCAAGACCAGGACTTTTAGACTTGGGAGCATGAGTGAGCAAAGACAACAAAACATCGCGAGTTGGAAGTTCCATTAGCATATCACCATCCAAGGATGATAGACGTACATCAGTTGGAACATTCCCCAGGAGAGTATCGATAGCTTCAGCATCGACAGCATCAGGGGTATATAGCCTTTGGTAAAAACCTTGTGCCTCCCTGTTGATAGCTGCTGCTTCCACCAAGATATCTCCAGTAGTAGAGCACTTTAAGGATTGAATTGTCTGTTGAGACTCTCGCACCTTGATCGAACGATAGAAATACTTGTTGCTACGTTCTCCCTGTTCTAACCAACGAGTGGCAGAGCGAAGCATATTCTGACTAGTCTCTTTCTGTATCTGATTCTCAATCAAAACTTCTAGTTGCCTGACCTGCTGCTCAGCATCACCTGTAGCAGTAGACACTCTGTCAGTTTGATCAATAGCATTCCTAGTCTCAACACCTGATACAGACGTTGACAGAGCCCTAATACGTTCCAGTTGAAGCGTAAAAACTTTGTTCTTGAATCGTGCTTTCATGCTTCTAGTGTACTTTTGTGCACAGCACTTTAGTAACAACTTGAAGGATTCCCATCTAGCCACCGTGCTTTCAGAGTCACCACTGCCACCTTGACTAGTATTGACACCCTTAGACCCACCACCAACAGCACCAGAGAAGAACAATGACACCGTGGCATTCAACAACGCAACAAATTCCTTATCATCAAGCAGAGTTGGATTGAACCGCCAACTACCAGGACCAATACTAGCTGTCGCAGGCAACATTTCAACAGTCAAAAGAGAGTGATCCGTCCACCTACTAGGCATATATAGTAACTGACTATTAGTCAAACGAGGAGCAAGAGAAGAGTGACCAAAGATGTAATCAATACAAGTATTGCTCTTTGGAAACGTAGCTAAACCATCCGGATGACAATTGACAAAGTGAGTACGCAACCAGTGAACAAAAGGAGCGACATCGGCTTGACGAGAAGTAGACAAAGAATGCAAGTGAATGTTGAAATCACCCATAACCATCCAAGGTGTGTTGAACACATCAGACCAAACAGAAAGAGAGAGAAAATCAGAGATAAATGAAGGACGGTCAAAAGACTGCGCGGGACCATAAATATTGGCCACTTTGCACAAAACATTGCTTGAGGCATCTACGACAGATGCAACAAGACAACGTTCATCCAACAATACCTCCGTATCCACCAAAGAATAACGAGAATTGAGACATATAATAGCACAGTGCTTGGACACAACGAGAGAACAATTAGGAAAAGCAAAAGAAAAGGAACGGACTTGAGATTCAGTGAGAGTAGATTGAGAGCGGAAATGAGATACCTCTTGCAAGCAAAGGATATCCAGATGGAGAGAGGAGGAGCGAAGATAAGATGAAAACTCTTTGAAATTTGTAGGATTAGACTGCATGAACAAGCTACGCGTGTTCAAGGAGCCAATCTTGATGCCTAATTTTGTACTCATTGAGCCCTACGGGCGTCTTGCTTAGTCTTGAGAGGCGCACGGCCATTAGTCTTGCTATTCTTGACAACACCAGAAACACCACCAGAAACACCACCAGAAACACCACCGGAAGCAACACCAGAAGCAACACCAGACTTGTTACCCTTAGCACCAGTACCAGAAGAAACACCACCAGAGTTATCCTGCTTGTTATCACCTTTTACACCAGCACCAGTAGTACCTTTCAGGTTTGCATTGAACTCCATTCTTTTGCGCTGAGCAAGATCCTTCAACTTGGTCAAATTCAACATCTCCTCAGGCGAGTCAATGTTCATATTCACAGCCACCTCAGCAGACGCATACTTGGAGTAGGCAGAACCACGCACGGTATCCAGCTTCTTGGGAGCTCCAGCAAGCACAATCTTGTCGTCCTCCATGTCCTCATCATCATTCATACTTACCTGGTGGTTATCTTCACTCAGAAGATCCAAATCCTCGTTACCAGTGGACTCATCATTTTCAGATTCGTCAACACTTTCACCCTGAAGAGATTCATCCTCGACTACACGATAATCGAGTTCTTCTTCTTCTACCTTCTCCACCTCCTTACCTACGCCTAATTTTTCCTTCTCAATATATTCCATCAATTCCACAGTGTTCTTACGAGCCAGAGTGACATCCTCAGAATCCTCAGAATGATGGTGAACTTTGTGCTTCTTGGTGAAATTTGCAGACTGAACCTCCTTTTCAGGGCAAAAACGCAACATGTGCCCTTGCTTATTGCACCTAAAGCAACGACGTCTAGCCAATTCAGGACATTTGGCGCGAACATGACCGCTGTGTTGACAGAAATGACAAACAGGTGGAGCACCTTGATAAGTCGCTGGCACAAAACAATCAAATTCGCTCAGATAGAGCATTCTATCTAGGGGCTTGGCCTCCTGCCACTCATCCCCTACCTGAAATCCAACAGAAGTATCCAAAATCACCGAAAGTTTACCCTCAAAGTAACCACGGTGAGTAAACTTCTTCACTTGCAGTACCTTACCAAAGTACGACAAGGACTCCATAAGATCCGACAAAAAAGTGGTCTTGTCCACCATACGCATAAGTGTAAACCGCACATGCTTGACATCCCCAAATTCAGCACTTTCCTTGGAGGTAGACGCTTTGTACACTACACCTTGTACTGTCACCCCTTCACGCATAGCCACTTGTGCATGCTCCACCTGAGCAAACCTGGCTTCAATCAGCAGAGAACCATCAGCACGAGAATCATACAAACTAAGAGATCGAAATTCCACGTCAGGTGAGATTTGATCTTGAATCACTTTGTAAGCGGCAACACGATCAGGAAACAAAGTTTTCTGAAACGTGAACAGAACAGAACCAGAAGAAAGGGATTGCTGAATAATCGCCATAGCCTTGCTTGCCAAAATTTGACCCTTCAGGTCATCATCTTCATAGAGAACAGTACCCACCAGTGGTACATCAGTTGGATTGTCCAATCGTCGCTTGTTGGGCTGGAGAAATCGACCCACCTTTTGACGTGAAGCTCTTTGAGCCCAAGTCAATTCAGATTGGGAAGACATGGAGTGTAACAGACGTAGAGTGTAACTTGTAATCTAGAGTGTAACTAAGTCGCGTTGTTGAAAAAGTAGTGAAAAAGATGAATTCGACGAAAAATTGTTGAATCAATCTGAAATCAAGATATGTTGTAGAGCTGAAATGGATGTATCTAAATATACTTGGATGCAAGATGGATGTATCCTAGTTGTCGAGATATCGTTGTTCAAAGATGGCGTAATCGAAAACTTTTTAAAAAGTGATGAATACGCTTTTTTTTTTTTGTATTAAAGTGTATCTTTATTAGCTTTAAATTTATAATCTATACAGTAATTACAGGCAAGGCCAAGGTGCCAGCTTGAACACTTGCCAAAGAAAGAGAAGAAAAGAGTGTACTATGGTCTTGACGGACCATGTTGATAGCAGCAGAAGCTATCCAAGGCTCCTCGTCTATGACGCATCGCCAATGATACTTCCAAAGTGTACTGTAAGCAGCACCAAGAGCAATCAGAACATCCTCATCGATCACCAACAAATCCGAACCACTACAAAAGGTAGTCAGCGCCAACCAAATAGAAGAAGCAGAGGGGAGTAGCTCTTGAAGTGACAACAAAGAGACTACATCCTGCCAGAAAAATGACTTGACATGGCAACCCACCACGAAATGGTAAAGGTCCTCTGTAGCAAAACCACAAAGAGCACAAGCAGGAGACAGAACTTTTGTAGGCATAATCTTATGACACCACGAGCGGTGCGGGACACGGTCATGTAGCAATCGCCACCAAGGTGTGAAAGCCTTTGCAGGCATTTCCAGGGACCAGAAAAGACGCCACAAAGCAGGAGACAGCAACAAATGGGCAGGCAACTTCAAGGGAGGACCCATACGAGAGGTAATGGTACCCTTTGCAGGGTGCCAATACCTTCGCAAAGCACCAAGAGAGAGACGAGCAACCGGAGCAGCAGAACGAGACGAGTTGGAGACAGTCCAATGTGTACAATCTGGCATCCAAGAGGTAGCACCATCAGAACGGGGCATAGCAAAATAGTCTGCTTGAGACAAGACTATCTTACTATCCATGACAGGCGGGAATACCAGAGAGACAGGACCACGATCACGGTTCAAGGCAAGAAAAACAGGGCGCAAAACACGAGATGACCAAGCAAGATGAGAGGTGACACCATCAACTATACCTAGATCAGGTTGCCAGAAAGAGACATCCGACACCAAGAAACGAGGATCAAGAGATGATGGATCACGAGGAGGACGAACAGAAGGCACAGTACTGAGTACAGAACACAAGGGAAGATCAAGAAACCACCTAGCAGACCAACCAGAGGAAGGAACTAGCTTTGGCAATCTCAACAGAAGCTTTCCAAGATGTGTTAGAGCAGGCACAGAAGACACACGAGACTGGTAAAGACCAGGAAAACAAAACCACGGCAAGATGGACTTATGACCAGTGTAAACTTGAAAAGCGTACACCAACCAAGAGGAGACAAAATCACTGGGAGAGGGTGGACGCAACAAACGTTGCAAATAGACAAGATGCAAAGCTAAGCTTTGATCTGCTATATCCACGAGACCAACACCACCAAACTTGCGGGGGAGACACAAAGTAGACCAAGCAACACCAGGGCGAAAGGACATCAGATACTCACGGACCACCGTAGTGAGAGACTTCAACCACGACGCAGTAGTAGCACCACCAGGAACAACACGCAACAAATGATATATCTTTGACAACAGTAACGAGTTAGCCACTAGTCCTGCTCCCCTAATGGAGAGATTCCTTTGTTTCAACAAGTTACTGTGTCGCTGGACCTTCACCAAGACACCATCAAGATAGTCTTGAAGTTGACTTTCAGTATGATACAAGGGATAACCCAAGTAACGTACTGCACCACGAGAGTGAGCGTCATGCCACTGGAGACCAGTAGAATCAGCCAAAGCAACCCAAGCAGAGTGTGACACACCAGACAACGACACCAACACTGTCTTGCTGATATTGACTTTCGCATTAGATGCTCGGCCATACAGATCAAGAACAGACAACAGCACAGACCACTCTTCTGGCGAAGACAAAAACACCTCAAGATCATCCGCATAGCTCAGAATCTTGACAGGAGGAGGAGCAACAGAGCCACTAACAAAGTCCAAAGTCCAATTCCGGGCACCAGTACCATGATCCACACGAACTTCGACCGGTAAAGGCTTCCATTTACGTGGGATATCAACAGGAGACAGAGTAACACCAGAAAGACCAGGACAAGCAAGGAGAGAACGAAGCAAAGGCTCAAATGCCAGATTGAATAGCAATGGAGAGAGAGGATCACCTTGACGAAGACCTCGCAATTGAGGTACAGGAGCACCAAGCCAACCATTGATAGACACTGAAATCTTGGTTCCAAAGAACAAAGAAGACAGACAAGACACCAACTCACCAGGAAACCAAACCGGAGCAACACACGACAAAGATATTCAGGATGAACCCGATCATACGCCTTCTCTTGATCCAACAAAACAGCAACTTGAGGTAAATCAGGAGCAACAACACGCAAGTGAGACATCAACAACTGATTTAACCAGCCATTGTCAGAGATCAGACGATGAGGGAGAAAACCAGTTTGATAAGGGTTGATTAACTTTGGCAACACTTTGTTCATACGATTAGCAATGAGCTTTGTAAATAACTTGGCATCACTGTTAATTAAGGACAAAGGTCTCCAGTTAACCAACAACTGAGGGTCACCCTTCTTGAACAATAAGACCATACGAGTTTGTTGCCACGAAGGAGGAAACACACCAGAAAAAGCTGCACCCAACACATCCACAAGCAAGTCAAGAAAATCAGTTGAAACACCAGCAAGATATTGATACAATTCAAAAGGCAAACCGTCAAGACCAGGACTTTTAGACTTGGAGCATGAGTGAGCAAAGACAACAAAACATCGCGAGTTGGAAGTTCCATTAGCATATCACCATCCAAGGATGATAGACGTACATCAGTTGGAACATTCCCCAGGAGAGTATCGATAGCTTCAGCATCGACAGCATCAGGGGTATATAGCCTTTGGTAAAAACCTTGTGCCTCCCTGTTGATAGCTGCTGCTTCCACCAAGATATCTCCAGTAGTAGAGCACTTTAAGGATTGAATTGTCTGTTGAGACTCTCGCACCTTGATCGAACGATAGAAATACTTGTTGCTACGTTCTCCCTGTTCTAACCAACGAGTGGCAGAGCGAAGCATATTCTGACTAGTCTCTTTCTGTATCTGATTCTCAATCAAAACTTCTAGTTGCCTGACCTGCTGCTCAGCATCACCGTAGCAGTAGACACTCTGTCAGTTTGATCAATAGCATTCCTAGTCTCAACACCTGATACAGACGTTGACAGAGCCCTAATACGTTCCAGTTGAAGCGTAAAAACTTTGTTCTTGAATCGTGCTTTCATGCTTCTAGTGTACTTTTGTGCACAGCACTTTGTAACAACTTGAAGGATTCCCATCTAGCCACCTGCTTTCAGAGTCACCACTGCCACCTTGACTAGTATTGACACCCTTAG